GCGGTTCTAACGTTTGTTTTTTTTTTCCTTTTATTTTTTTAAGTTTTCCCGCTTAATAGTTCAATGCCTTGTAGGACTTCTTTGTAACAACTAAAAAGTTTTATTCATAAAAACTATTTTCAAATAATAGCACTGCATATAAAACCTTTATACATTTATCAAATATTTAACTTAAACTAGAAATAAGAAAAGAGGAACGAAGGGAAAAGAAATTAATAGCTGATGACTGATCACAAGAAATTTGTTAAAAAATTACGTGTAAATTTTTTTATTTACATCATTCTGTAGTATTATTTATTATGTTTATTAATCATGAGAAAATAAATAATAAGAAAATATTATTCAAATTATTATATATATTTTTAAGATGTTACTCTCGATAATATCAAAGAAATTGATGGAGTAGTATTTAACCCTCTGACTTTCTCTATTGAATATTTGATTGTATTCATTGGTTCATTGCTACAACTCATGCAGATTTCTTTTAATATTGAAAGTAAGGGTTGACTTTTGGCCGACATTAAAAAAAAATTAATTGTTGACACAGTGCAGAAGAAACAATAGTGGAATTTTCGATGTATTGAGAATTGAGATTCAAATTAATTGATCCAACTAGAAACGGCAAAAACCGAAATAAAGACGGAGAATCATTACAGTGACGGTGCCATGTTATTTCTCCCCAATGCAGCATTCTTACTCACACTCCGGTTGTCACTATTCTTTGACCCAACAACAATGTGTTGATTTTTCTTTTCTTTTTATTTTCTATCATCAATTAATCAAAATAAAAATAAAAATTTTAATAATAAAAATATTGATATGTGTGTAGTATTTAAAATGTCGACTAGTATAATTTTGTGTACTTATATTTTAGGCTAAAACTCTATTTTGATCTCTTATATTAATTATTTGTTTCAATTTAGTCTCATTTTTATTTTGATTTCAATTTAGTCCCAAATAAATTAATTGATTTCAATTTGGTCCCAAATATATTATTTGGTTTCAATTTGGGACTTCCGTCCAAATTATTTAAACGGAGTTAATTTTTGGCCACGTAGATGCTTCATGGATGGCACGTGAATGACAATTTTTATTTAAAACACCTGGAACCAGAACGGCCCGTTCTGAAACCGGAACGGGCCCTTCTAGTTGCACTTTTGGTGTGTTAATTTTGCATCCAGAACGGCTCGTTCCAGGTGCAAAATTAACACACAAAAGTGCAAACAGAACAGCCCGTTCCGGTTTCAGAACGGGCCGTTCCGGGTCCAGGTATTTTAAAAA